AATTCAATGGAAACCAAATCAATAAAATCGTTTAACAGCGAGTCACTACAAGCTTGTGGACTCACCGAGTTTGAAGTGTCAAAATAATAGTCCACTATAACTCCGGAGGGGATCATGAGGTATGGAGTATTTGGTTAAAAGAGTCACCGCCCCTTGAAATTCGCATGGGGCAAAGTGTTTGAGTTTGAAGCGTCAAAATATAAATCCACTGTTGAAACAAGCGTGAGGGAAAATTATTTTTAAAGTATGGATTTTGGACCTCTCAAAATTAGACAGTACTATGGGAGATAGTGCAATGAAGTGAGTGCACTATCAACTCGATTTTTGAACTTGATCAGGTTTGGTGCACTGACTACAGATTCTGGGAGAGCATTCCAGGCTTGGCAAACACGCACGGAAAAGAAATTCCGTCGACATTCCAAACGGCTGTACTGCACTGCCAGCTTCAGATGATGGCCTCTCAGGGTGTTGTTGTTACTGAGCTCCAGCAGATGGCGGCAGGTATGATTGGGGTCTGTCAGAATCTGACAAGCCAAAATCAAATCTCCCCGTAGTCTTCGATATTGACCACTAAATATCCCGAGCGATCTCAGTCTGTCTTTGTAGCGTAACTGGCCTAAACCTTTCACGTTCTTCGTTGCGCGTCGTTGAGGTTTCTCTAAATCAGAGAGGTCTTTCCTCAGCCACGGCTGCCAGACTTGCATTGCATACTCCACGTGTGGTCGTATGTATGCACCTAGAAGTTGGTGAAAAACGGATGGATCGAAGCGTCCAAATGTGCGCCTGAGAAGGCCCAAATTTCGAATGCTCGCGTTCGAGGCTTTCTTTGCCTGGGCTAAACAACCAAGGTCGGACTGAATCAAGACTTCCAAATCCTTTTCCTCAGCAGTTGTGTGAAGCACATGGTCACCCAATTTATAGAAAAATGCTGATTGGTGACGTAAGTGTAATACTCTGCATTTTTCTGTGTTGAATGGGAGTTGGTTCTGAACTGACCACGCATACTCCTTATCCAGATCCTCTTGAAGTATTGCGGAGTCGTCTGGTGTATTGATCGCTCTCCAGACCTTGATGTCGTCGGCATAGAGTAGGCAGTTGGAAAGAATGAGGGCCGCTATGTCGTCAATATACATCAAAAACAATCGTGGCCCCAGTACCGATCCTTGTGGTACACCACATTCGACTTGGATTGGGTGGGACAGGGACCCACGCACTTGTACCTCTAAGCTCCGGTGGAGAAGAAAGCTTGTGATCCATCCTAGGAGCGGATCACCAATGCCGAAGCTCTGAAGTTTGCAGATCAGGATTCCATGGTCTAGTCGACCGAAGGCCTTTGAGAAATCTAGGTAGACCACGTCCACTCCTGCACCGCTGTCAATTAATTTGGTCCAACTCGATCTTGCTAGCAGCAGATTTGTGGTGCACGATCGATTCCGTCGAAAACCATGCTGTTCATGTGCAAGGAAGGCAGACTCTTCTAGATAGGCTGTTAATACGTCAGCAACAATAGCTTCCATAATCTTCGACAGGACCGGGAGAAGGGTTACAGGACGGTAGTTGGCTGGATCAGAACAGCTGCCGCCCTTGTGAATTGGGGTTATGATCCCACATTTCCACATCTCGGGTACATACATCTGATCGAAGCAGCGTTGGAAGAATCGTGCCAGAGGCTCTGCTAAAGTTTCTTCCATTACCGCAAGGGACTTAGGGTGAATGTTGTCGATTCCAGGGGAGCTGTGCTTACGCATACACAACAACTTCTTTAATACCATCCCCGCCGTGAAAGTTATGTGCGTAAGTTTTGGTTGTAAAACAGCTGCTGACAAAGGAACAGATGGCCAAGGAATGCATTGAAAGTTCGAAGCATATTGCAGCCGCAAGGCGTTCGCCGCATCCTCCGTAGTCAGCGTCATGCCATCTGGCGTTTGAAGAGGAGGGATTCCTCGTTTCACCTGACGAAACGTATCATAGTGTTACGGTATTCCTTACGCTACGCCTAAATGCTAGATAATCGCTTACTGTAGCTGGATGTTGGGTATACTACCTGACATCGACAAAGCAGACGTGCAGAAGCAACGAGTGAATGAATCGATTGAAATATGCTGCTGTCTTACAGGAAGGCTGTATTTGTAGACTGGCAGTTGCATGACATTGCTGTATGGAAGATCTTGGTTTTAGCTGCATAAGCAGCGACTTGCACTTAAGTAGTTATCATTAGTGCGGATTTGGGAATGTAATATACGATGAACCCGAAACATGTACCCTTTTACTATTGAACGACATTGGATTGTATTAGTCGTTAAACTTTCCGGTTATCCATTTGATGTCCTATACCTCCCACACTTTCTGCCAGTGAGTGCGTTCTACACTGCTTCTCACTTTCACTGCTTCGTTCTTCCTTCCCTGTAGTCTATACAATATATGGTTGGTCCATTTACAGTTATTTTCTTGGCAATTTTTGTGTTTGGCACCTCTTTTAGGTGCCATCGCTACTGCATGGTATTCAAGATGCATCCAACAAGCATACCCGAAACCTTTTAAACGACCGCCTAAAATGGTTGCGTTGTGCAGGAGATAGAAGCTAGAGAACGATTGTCGAATATTTGTTGCATGGATGACGATTAGGAGTGAAGGTATTCTTGGTTTCAAGAATTCCTGTTAGTCATGTAACGTGCAATCGTGTACACAGATGCCAGCCTCCTAAGTGTAGAATTAGCTTTCAACAAGGAGGCACATTTGTGGTCGCTCGTTGGCGTATGATAACCGTGAGACAAGGTAGGATCAGTCACATTGGAGGAATCAACAAGTCTCATGTTGGTTTCAGTCGGTTTATTGTGAACAACGATTTTGAGAAAACCGTAGTTCAAACGTTGCCAAACCGTAATATACACGCTAATATTAACCATACAATGAAGTCCGTTTGCCACGATTTCGTGTTTTATCACAAAAGACCTATGATTCCGTGATTGAGGAGAATGAAGTCTTCTTTATGGAGATGGCAATTTCGGTCATTCCTGAAAGACGCTTTACAAAGTATTGCACTACGTGTTAGAGATCGCAAGACACTGTCCAAAGATTGTGTAATAGTGTGAAGCACCAAATAATGTGATTTGATATCACCGGAAGATATTTATCCTTTTTCTATGAAACTGGTATCAAGAGGAACATATGCATCGAAGGGATTGCGAACCTGCGTGAATTGCTAGGACATCCACACAAGTTACTTATCACACACCACTAGCCATGCCAACACAAGCAAGTCTTCATTTTTATGATGAACTACTGGCGGCGAAGAAATGCTGCCTTGTCCTTCAACAAACGTTGGCTTAGTGTTATATTCCTGTTATCAATACCTTATGAGTTAGAATGTTTGCCTGGTAGGTCAGGGATTGCAGTGCTGCAAACTGGTAACAATAAACAGTCAAACTAAAATGCTTGATCAGCGTTTGCTTGATAAGCATACTTCAACGTTGACAAAATGGTCGAGCAACACGCAGGGTAACACTAACACGTTCGTGTTATTTCATATACTTATAAGTAGGCCAAGAGCGTTCGCAAATGGCAGTAATACTTGCATCGCTGGAGTGGAGAAAATTGGATGTCTATGGGGGAATTTGGAAGGTTTGGTATTGTGGGTACGTAACCTGCATTTTGGGCACGCCTGTTAATGAGATAATGGGATAAGTGTTACAAATCTGTGAAAAATAGAGTCACGGTAGACACCGAGAGGTGTAACGGATGTAAGACGTAATAACTGTAGTGTAATGTGCAGTATCATGGAAAAACTTCGGTGCTAATCAAGCAAGGCAACCGAAAACAATGTGGCGCACTGGCTAATGCGATGAACGGCGTATGCAGGACACGACTTGCATTTGTCTCGGTGCACAGTGCATATGATAAAACGGAGACCAAAGCGAATTATCGGCTACTGAATTAAGCCGAAGGACGCGATAGTTGGTCTCAGTGCATCACCGCCATACTGCCGTAAAATAAGTCTGCTTACTGTATGGATAGGCAGTAAAAAGGCACTTAATGAGCCCAAGTGTGGAACAGTCATACTAAGGAAACATCCATGGTCAATGCGTCTTCATCTTGTGAACATCGTACAGGCGGAAACAGTTGTTTGCTAGGGAACATGAGGCGGTAATGGTGAGACGACTCGTGTGCTGCTTTCACCGCTCTGTGTCAAAATCAATCTAACCCCATAGATCACTTAATATCACACGCACCAAAAATACGTGACTCGTTTGAAGAGGACGGGATGAGTATTACTTCTGCCAGTTGCAAGCCACATCCAGCAGTGAATTGAGGCAAAGAAATAGTTGGAGCATCGAAACCAGTTTTAAATACGAAGGCGATCAATACCACGCAGGTTTGTAATCAGCGACCCATTTTAGCTGCTGCCTCCTTAAGTGTTCTCCAACCTTGATCCGGTAAACACAACAAACTCCTCCTCGGCAAGCGGTAGGCAAGGATCCGTAGCACGCGTTCCAACTAAAATGACTAATTTAGTTTAAGTTACTGTTTACATAGACTAAGATTGTTATCCTCTGTTGGTGTTACTCTGCGTCCCCCATCCGTGCCGGCAAGTTATGGTGGTTGGTCAAAGGGGCGGCTTACGCGAAGTCGTGCACCCAGCTGATTCGCCTCGTTTAGTGGAAGGACCGACCTGCATAGCCACTAGCATCTAAGCACGAGAAGATACACATTTATAGTGAAAAACAGATTAAACGAGGTGCTCCTGCTTTTATCAGTCAACCTCTATCTTATTACAGCTTATTAGTAAAGAATGGAGATGTATTCGTGATATAAGCACACTGTACTTTCGGTACAGGTAAAATTGACAAACCCCATGTGCGGACGATTAAGCCCTTGTACTGACTAAAACTTAATATATTGACACCTTTCCTTGAAAAAAGCGTGAAAGAAAAAATGGTGTAGACCCTCCCAATGTGCAGGAAAAACATTTGTCAACTAACAGTTCATCGATTCCGACTTACTAAGTCACGTCACCGATAGTTACATTAGGGAAATAACGCACGGTTCCAAAGTTTTCCAGATCCTGAGAGTTCTGCGGAGTAATAGATGGAACGTAATTATGCAATCAGTAGAAAACAAGATGGACAATTGTGTGAGGTAACACCATTCGACGATTCGCCAACCTTCAGACTACTCGACAAATGCTGCTCAAGCTTTAACTACTTATGTGTAGCAATTTTTGATTCAGAAAGCTTAAAACAGTTAAATGAGGCGGCAGTCGTATATGAAGACAAAGCTAAAGTTTATCAGAAGCTCAGGCCTATTAGCTCAACATTTGGCAACTGCAAATAACGCGGTGATTGCGTGAAGCATTTAACAGAAACCCAGATATAGCGGTTCCGGTAGGCAAATCGAATGCAAGGAAGCTCCTATATTGCACATTGAATGGTTTCCTGTTGGCCTAGTTATAAAAACGACACCAATGGAGGTTGCTAGGCGTGAGGCCGAAAAGAATGCAGCGCAGGACGCGGTCACAAGTTGCAAAACACCCGAGCTCCAGAGCAAAGGCGGTGGCTGAATCCAACAATCGAACTCAACATGTAGTTCAACAATCCGTACTGATCGTCTAAATGTACAATTCAATGGTTATTTTCGTTAGCATTTTGTACAACGTACTCAGATAAACCCGGGGGGGGGGGAATCTCCATGCTGCCACAAGCTTACCTGGCCACTGCAACGAACAAGCGGATTGTTGGAAAGAGAGGAATTGATTATATCGGGCAACCAGCCGTAGATCTGTGGATATATAAAGCGAGAGGATTAGCTGCTTACTAAAATGCTAAAAAGATTTCTCACAGTTCAAGGATGGAGATGCTGATACAGAAACGTCAAACCATAATCTTTGTTTAAACTGATCTTAATGCGAAGTAACAATGATAAATTATCTCCTTCATAAGGGGTTAGATGCTAGGGAACAATGGAGCCGTAGTCCTATCGCACCACTTGTTTCGCTGCAGTGGCATTCCAAGACCGACTGTCGTTCGAACAGTTGTATGCATATTCATGCACTAAACTTGTTTTCAAAATACTTGCCGACATTAGCCACCCACTTCATAATAAATTCTCTTGCTGTCTATCTACCTCATCGACCAGACAAAAGTACTGAGCAATATAGGTCCGCATGAAAGCTTATGGTTTGCCAGTCATTCCTAATTTTGACAAATTTATGTTTGATCGGAACGCCAGTATCCACAAACTGACCGGTAAATTCTGCCAGTGAGGTAGTTTTTCATTGAACTTCTTTTTACTGTTGTGCTGTCGCTTTTGAATGGTTTATTTTTCTCATGTCGATATCACGTGCACCACGGGTGCCAAGTTAGCTGTCACTGCTGCACAAAAGCGTATACTTAACTTGGTATGACTTATTATGTGACATACTGGTTCGCGTGTCTTCACTATCCACGATGTCACGCCAGCTAGCATTATACCAGCGCTTTAACAGCCACACAGCAGCTAGATTAATGGTAAAGGTCAGACGATGTTAATAGAAGTATCTGCCTCATAAGAATTTTGGGAGAGACTAACGTTCACTTCGCTTCAAACTTATATATCGGAGACAAGGCGTATGAAATGTACATTCATTCCGACTGGTTCAGTGCATGAGTAGTATCGGCTGTCTCTAGTGGTTGGCGGATCACAGTGTTGCTCAGCGTCCTGCTACGGACCACACAATACCAAATTGCTCCTGCGCAGAAGGATTAGACACTACCAAGGCTTACCAATCACAGACCGCAGTCGTAGCTGTATCGGAATAGATCCAATATACAATACTTACCGTTCTGAGTTTGCTAAGAGCATGTGTGGCCAACTACAAGACGCAAGGATCTGTCAGTGTTGGGAGCAGCGACACTTAAGCACCGCTCTCCGTAGTCCCGCTTTGGAGGTACATTTGTGCTGTACTAGCTTGTGTGCCAGATTGCCGGCTCAATGACTTTCACTGCATTCTCTCAAGGAAGCCCTATCTATACCACCGAAGTCTGGAACCGGCTATCGGGTAAAGAATGATGCAGGAACCCTCGATGGTTACGGACCTCGTGCTTGTGTGCTTAACAGCAAATAAAACTAACTGCGTGTTTGGGTCGTTAGTAAATCCAAGGATCGCAATTAACCTAAAGCGTTACAACTTTCGCTTTACATGCCAGATAGATCAACGAATAGCAATGTCTTTCAACCTGTATACTCATAGTGTAGGGAGACGGAAGGCAGTGATTGCCCGGAGGACAGCAAGACCATTAAGATGAGGGCGGAAGGGAAGTGACACAGGCTCAATGAGGGGGAGCAGACGGATCAACACTGGCCTGACGGAATGAGATGAAAACGGGGAACGAGCGCTGTCCTGTAGTGAGCCTGAGCCAGATAGGACGAGCGGTGTTCCTCGAGAACGCAATAAATAAGACGAAACCACCGTTATTGAAGCATACCGGATCCAAACCCAAGCAGAGTAATGCATCTACGTTCAAGCAAATCATGAGCTATCGAACGACTCCGGGCTAGTTAGAAGGGGACGAGGGGAAGCGGAGATACTCGGATGAACTGGACAGGGAAGGCTTTCTCCCGAGTCCCCCAAGGTGTATAGACCTGTCGCGAGCAGAAGCCAGGAGAGATGAGGCGTCGTGGGAGGGAGACATGACTCATTAACGTACGCCTGTGTGAGTCGTGATTTAGCTTATGGTCGTGCCAGTGAAGATTCTGCTTCATTGTCGCATCGTTCACGCTTCACTGGTGCCGTGACAAATCAGAATGAAGCGGACCTGGCCAGGGCCGTTTGCGGATGGTGACGCGGAAAATTGCTTGGAGGAGTTTGAGGCAATTACGGCCTGTAACGGAGTCAGAGGTGATGCCAACTTACTGACCACCTTTGGCACGCTGCTGAGGAGAGTGAAGGTGACTCACCTATTAACGCGGAAGGTCAAGGCTGGCTGCTTATTTGCTGAGATGAAGGTGACATTGTGTTCAACAGAACAGATGTAAATAGAGTTTCGGAAATAAACATAACACACGACGGCGTTCAAGTCAGTCATAAACTCCCTGATTCGGGATCGGCTACAAAGCATACATACCTGGCATAATAATTAATTGGTTATTTTGCGGCGCGGAAGTTCGCTCAGAATTGAAGTTGGAGGTAACCTAATAAATCCGACGCTAGCAAATAGGTGCATGTACTTGCTATGACCGCGCCTCCGTCACGTTACCATACACTGTCAGCAAACGCATTATCTCATAAATACTTTGAGGTACGCAAAAATCGACTGCAGCTTGAAAGACAAAGAAGAAAATGCTTACGGAAAATGTTCGCATCTCACCAGTGTGGGCACAAATTGGGATACTTTAATTTCAAATGGGGATGTGAGTCATCATGTGAGCTCCACATCGACAAGTAAACGCTAGCTAGCTCACTGTTTAACTGACGAGGCCTACACGATGAACGAGTGGTTCGTCCAACGTTGTACCAGTAAAAATTCTTCTTTTCATATCACAAACGACTGCACCAATCCAACTGGTGTCCATGGAAAAGAACGGCGTTCTGATGTTAACATTAAACAAAGATCGCTTGCTTGAATGCAAGAATAGCAGTTCGACTAGAGTGTTTGGAACACGTTGAGAAGGATGTTGGATAGAAGACTCAGAATAGAAGGGGTCTATTTAGTGATCGGAAGGAGTCGGGAAGCTGAAGCTAGCTGCTTACATGGTGAACAGATGGTTGTTGCTCCAACGCATGCTTGTGCACCTGGCAATCCCAAGAAATGTGCAAATATTTGACGTTTTCTTGCTCGCATAACTGCGGGTCTTTAAGGCTATGCCCGTGTACTTTTACACAAGAGTCACTTTACAATTGTTTTCAAATTCACCTTTGTTTATCTTAACTAATTAATGACTAAGGTAACCACTGAGCTCAATGGACTGCCCTGTCCTTTGCGCATCAGTAACGTACACACATTGGAACATGCGTTATGTCAGCTTTAGACACCTATCCAATGCGAACACGCTTCTCGATAGATTCCCATAGCTGGTAGAACCGAGTGGAGTTTCCCCCAAAGACTTATGAAATGAATGAGGATGGGGATCGGTCAGCGTGACCAAATACAAAGCAAGTAACAAACATAGTGGGAGTCATCTCATGACTGTTCATTCCAAACGGGAATGGAACAATGCCAAGAGAAAGTGCGTCTCGATAATAGCATAACTGCTAAAAGTGAATTGGTATATTTGATAACGCACAGGCTAGGCAGTGACACTTGAAAGGCAGAATGTTACTAAGACGACGGCAATTCCTTTAATCAGTGTTTCAAGGCATTCATACAGAAGTCCGCACATGTAACTAAAATATGCACAAGGTGATCAGAATTTCGGTGGTATTCAGCGACACAAACCCTTGTTGAAAAAACCAATCATGACAGGCACTTCTAAGGGGAATAAACGGGGATTTGAAATAGCGATCCAAACTGCTTAATATAGCCGACCTGCTCTGCAGGTTGTTCTTCTGAAACTTACGCCGTTGGGCACCGTTGTACTTTACTGTGGATTTGTCCGTTAATAACTAGTGGGTACCAAAATTCTGACCTACTTAGTAGTTGAGGGCATGCTAAAAGCTCTTCTTTTCAGCACGGCAACAGAATTAAGGGTACAGAAGCATATTATCGGTCGTGAGCATCATAAGAATAAAACAATAAAACCAGCTATTCGCCAAACCTACTCCGATATCCATACATATACACTAACCTGACCTGACAGATTCAGTAGAGATAGAGGCGAGTCAATATAGCAGTTTTACAGGGAAATGATATTGCCAATAGGTAACCTGTTAGATTTCTTATAAGTGGTGCGTATATTCGGTCGCGGCCCAGCACACGAAGTAAATTTGGCAGAAAAATAGGGATACCCACTATAGTACCACAAATGAACCTTCTCAAGAAGGAGCAGTGGGTGAACCGAAAGCTGCACTCTTGGAAAGGTCATCACTATAAACATGTATACAATGTGTGATCCTCGAATTACGGACAGCACAACACGCGCTAAGTGCATTGGTCTACTGATAGATAAAGAAAAATCCAGGAATGGAAGCATTCCTTGCAGAACAAAATCAAGATTCAACATCTATGTGCGGAAAACCGCTGTAATGTTCAGTGGAAAATCATACCAATTATGCACAAATGTAAGGCTATAGCATATTCTTTAACTACGCACATTGTTAATCTTCAGGATTACGCAAGGTTGGCTTCGGTCGTATCCATAATTGTTCTCCTTCACGCAGTCACCCATTTCTTGTGGATAATACTTGCATACAAGATCAGGGTTGTCCGGGGACTTCAGACTTTTCTCGCAGGTTGCAAACCCCTCCTGGGGCTTTATATTAACCTCTTCATACATATAGACGAAAGTTCGAATATTCTGTACGTAAGGCATGTACGTTTGGGGATCAGAAGCAGCGTAAGCAATCAGTGCAGTCCGAAAATCGATTCGTGGTCGCATGCCAAGGCCTTGGGAGGTGATGTACAGAAAAGTAAGAAGCAAAACAGGGCATAGTTAAAGAAAGAAACATCATACGAACTGTGGTGGTGAAAAAGTTGCAAAAACTTAACACAGCAATTTAGGTTGCCAATCGCCAGTTCACAGAGCTGTACGTTGCAAACGTACCTGGCGCGTTCTCTGGGTATCCTAATCTGGGGGGGGGGCAAACTGTAGCAAGTTTCGTGGTTAATACACTTTTAGGAGTACAAGCAAGTGCCATTGCACTTGAGTAAGTACTACAGTATCAACATTAGTTGACTCGCTTATACACGTTTAATGCTTTGTTACAAATGATGAAACGCATTTAACTAACCTTCAGTGCTAGGAATAAACAGGCTATCTATCCAACACTCCACTAAAAACAAAACGTCCATGGGCATCGGATCTGGTATCAGTAAATAGTCTTTAACATATTGTCTTATACAGATTTCGAATACAAACTGACCCGCCATGGAGGCTCTCTCATCCCAAGACAGGTAGCCGACTTGCATTTGTGGGTATCACCTTAGGTGTGGTTACTGTCGAATATGTTGTTGAGTGAGTTTCTAAACTCCGGGTGGCATTTATAACTTCGATTCGTCTAGCTTTATGGATCTTTAGCATAGTGTACAGATTGGTCTAGTGTTTAACCAAAGGCTTGGACACTAAAAACTGAGGATACTACAATATACTAAATCAACTATGACCCTGGCACCAAGTGTGATTGATCCCGCTCCTTATGCATTTTTTAACAAGAAAGATAACAGTAATGTTTAATAGAACAAGTACAATTCTGCAAGAATAATCCAGTGATATTATCGTGATGTGGGGTGACTAGCGGTAAAAATAAGTGGAAATCATGTCCTAGCGTCATTAACTAGGGGGCTGTGCCACATCTGATAGCGTATCTAACTGGTAACTGGACACATCCTCTCGTACACTATATATTGCAGAAAATAGTCCCTCCTTTTCGCTTTCCTTTATGTACAACACTTTTTTGGTAATTTGTGAGACCAGTGAGCAGGCAGGGCAGAAGCCGATCGGTTATCGGTAGCGAACAAACCTGGGACAGTAGAAGACGATGCAGAAGTAGACCCACTAACAATCAGACACAATTTTGTTAACTACTTGAGGTAGCTGCCATTTATTGATCGAAGCACATTGCAAGCTATTGGTAATAGCAATAATACAAATGAAGACTTTAGTCAAATATTTTAGTAAGGATGATGGGTGTAACATTCCTACGGACAACTGAACCAATTGTATCGGCCGGTGGAGAAGCTATTCTATTCTATTCATGACTCACTGGTTGACTTAGTAGTTCTTGTGCATACACATTTGACTTATGGGTATCCTTTCACCAACTTGTTGTGAAAATTCGGGCTCCCTTTTCATAAATTTCAGTTCGTACCTCCTCACTCCAGGCTTTCCCACCTCCTTTTTGCTTCCATCATTACAACGGTGGAGTGAGTAGTTAGCGCCCCAAAAGATAACTCTTATCTTTCATGCACAATTTACTTGTTGACCGATTGTACATTATTCCTTCTTGCTTTAATCGTCCTTACAATCGACCCGTCACTCGACCACCTTGTAAGTTCCCGTGCTCACGTGTTTGCTCTCGCCTCGCTTCATCCGTCCGCTTCCTATTGTAGCCCATCGAATACAATCCACTGTGTCCGACTCCCATGGCCTTCTGATATCCGCGCTTACATTCGCGCACCGTCTCGGACTAGTATTAACTAGTCCTACAAATTGGTGACCCCGATTCGCACGCGCGAATTCAACTTTTTCCTCGTTTGTAGTTTTTGTTGAGTTGGTTGCTTTTTCTCGATTATATATCTATATTCATTTGTTTCATTGCGTAAGTTTAGTACTTTTATCATATTTTGTTCATTCTTTATCTTACGACTCACATTTCGAGAGTGGTATCTGAGTCGTTTCACAGCGTAAACATGCTTACTTTGGCTGTCCCAAGTTTCATGGAACACAGCCCAGCGGTTTGTTTACGATATTCGACATCGAACTGGAAAATAAGGGCATTACGGCGGACCGTCCGAGGTACAATCAGCTCGTCCCACGCCTTCCTCCGTCGGTTGTGATGCTGATTGAGAACATTCTACTCTGCCCATCGAATGAGGCAAAGTATGAAACGATGAAGCAAGCGATTTTAAAAGAGTTACGGCCCAGCGCACGAACTCGATTTGAGCAGCTCAATGGTCTCAACCTTGGAGATCGCAAGTCGTCGGCGTTGCTCCGCGAACTTCAGCGCATCGCTGGTCCCTTATTCTTGAGCGAAGAAGGGATAAAGGAGCTGTGGTTTGCAGGTCTCCCAGAACCATTGCCGGTAATGCTGTCCATGTTTATAGATACACCCCTGAAAGAATTAGCTACCAAGGCAGACGCTGCGTTCGAACATCTTCCGCAGCAGACGACCGGTAGCTCCGGTGACGTATTCTCTCCGACGAAAACCGAATCTCATGTTTGCTCCCAGTCGATAGGCCGATCTGACTCTAAAGACGAGGAAATTGTGCTACTTCGCAGCAAGATAGCAGCAATGAAGGCTTCGAAGCAGCATGTGCCACGGTCAAATGCTGACCACGTTTTGGCTACCGTTCATTGCGGCTCGTCTGTGTCTGCACCGAGTACGTTACGTTCGGCACGAAAGCGCAACATTTTCCCTACAAGTTCTCAGTCAGATAATGTCAAACACGTCGAAGAAGTATGTTGGTATCACCGCCAATACGGTGGAAGAGCTAGACGTTGTCGGTCTCCCTGCATTAGGCACGACCCAGCTGCATCAGGGAAATCAAATAGCCCGCATAATAGCACGACCAACCTATCCGTCAATAACCAAGCAAATCGACTGTTTTACGTAAAGGATCGACGTTCTTCCATCACATTCATCATCGACGCGTGATCCCAGCGACCGCTAACGATAAGCACTCAGAGCCTACGTACAATTTGCGTGCGGCCGACGGTTCTCCCATAGCTTCATTCGGTCAGCACATGATGAACCTGGACCTTAATCTTCGCCGAGATTTTCAGTGCGTCTTCATGGTTGCGTCTGTACCTTTCGCAATTATCGGTATTGACTTCCTCCGACATTTCGGGTTACTTGTTGATGATGGTCGCCACCGACTTTTAGACGGTCGTACTAAACTAGAGGTTGAAGACGTTCTTACGGACGCCCCGATAATCAGTCCCGTTTTTCGAATCGCCGATGTACCATCAGGTTATGCGAACCAACTGTCTGAGTACCCGCGACTGGTACGACCAGCTGCAGAGCTTCCGCCAGTCACGACAGAGGTCGATCATAGTCAGCCAGTTGGAGCATGACCAAGATGGCTTGCTCCTGACAAACTACGGGCAGCACGAGCTGCATTCGACCACATGCTTCAGCTCAGTATCGTGAGACCGTCTAAAAGCCCATGGGCGTCACCTCTGCACATGGTCCCGAAGAAAGTCATGGGTGACTGGTGCCCTTGCGGCGACTATCGAACCTTGAATACAGTTATCACGCCAGATCGCTATCCGATCCCACACATAGTGAATCTCACCGCCAGTCTGGCGGGTAAAAAATCTTTAGCAAAGTCGACTTGATACGCGCATACAACCAAATTCCGGTAGCCAAAGCGGACATCGCTAAAACTGTCGTGATGACTTCATTTGGTTTGTTCGAGTTCCTGCGCATGCCATTTGGTCTAAAGAATGCCGCGCAAACTTTTCAGCGTTTCATCGACCGAGTTTGTCGCGGCTTAGGCTTCATTTACGCGTATCTCGATGACATTTTAATCGCAAGCGCTTCACGAGAAGAGCACATGCGCCACGTACGAACACTTTTTGATCGTTTATCTCAACACGGGGTGACGATCAACGCAGGAAAGTGTTCGTTTGGTGTCGATTCAGTCAACTTACTCGGCCATCGTACCACCTCCGCAGGCGTCGTGCCAAAACAGGATAAAATTCAAGCCATCATTGACTACCCCGAGCCTCATTCTTTCAAACAGCGCAGGTGTTTTGATGGGCTTGTCAACTTTTACTGACGGTTCCTACCCAACTACGCCTCTCTGATGGAACCCCACACGGACCTTTTCCGAGGGAAACTCAAGAAATTCGAATTCCCTGCCTCAGTACGCGCTGCTTTTAAGTCGCTGAAAGTGGCTATCGCCAACATAACTTCTATAGCGCGTCACGATCCGGCCGCCCCACTGTCCCTCACTACTGATGCCTCAGACGTGGCAGTCGGCGCTGTTTTGCAGCAACGAGTAGCCAATACGTGGCAGCCATTGGCATTTTCTCCAAACGCCTACAACCTACCGAATCTCGCTACAGCACGTTCGGTAGAGAACTACTAGCCGTGTATCTAGCGGTACATCACTTTCGACACGTCCTAGAAGGCCGCTCCTTTGCCGTCTTCACCGACCACAAACCCCTGACTTATGTGCTCGGCTCGACTACCGACCGATACTCTCCTAGAGAGTCGCGCCACCTTGACTATATCGCGCAGTTTACGACAGATATACGGCATGTCTCAGGTGTGCACAACGCCGTCGCCGATGCACTTTCTCGCATCCAAGCTATCTCAGCTGACGCCGACACTGCTATCGACTTGACAGCCATGGCCACAGCGCAACTCAACGACTCTGAGCTTGATCTACTCCGCAGGTCTCCTTCATTGGACTTACGACCGGTTCCGCTTACATCAACAGACGGAACTATATTCTGCGACTTATCGCTGGGCCCGCCGCGCCCAGTCGTTCCACGCGAGTTTCGGCAGACCGTGTTAGACACGTTGCACGGCTTGTCTCATCCAGGAGTTCGTGCATCGGTTAAACTCATCCCGTGCACGTCGATCTCGTAGGTCCTCTGCCACCTTTCAAAGGCTCTGTGTATCTACTGACCTGTGTCGATCGATTCGCTAGGTTGCCGGAAGCCATTCTCATACCTAACTGCTCTTCGGAAACGCTAGCGAAAGCTTTTAAGGAACGCT